GCAGGCTGTGCCCTAAGAAAACTTCACCAGGCTCCAGGAACACGTGAGCAAATGCTGCTGTCAGGGCTAAGCGATTGTTCCTGAGGTTGAGGATCCACAATCTGATCCATAGCAGTAGCTTTGGAGACTATGGAGGCAGGATGCCTGGTATGTCCTGACTTAATGAGTTTAATCAAGTCATTGTCCAGCTCTGGATTTTAATTTCCTCCTACACCGGTTAATGTAAATCTCACTGAGTTTTTATAAGACTCAAATTAAGAGATCAGGTATTGAAATGCTTTGATAATGGTATAAATATCTGCCTAAGTCATTATCCTTTACGCCTCTGTATCACTCTTAATAATCTAGATCACAGGAATGCCTACCGCTTCTGTATCATTTACTGGAAATACATCTCAGACTCCTAAGCCATAAGCAGCATGGTGGTGGCTTTGAAGTCCTCCCTTGAAGATCTGGGGCTATGTTACAAGCAGCAGAAGAAAAGTCCCTCTTGAAGGTGAACTGGGACCCAGATAGGGCTTTCTGTGACACCTACAGCCTTGACTCCATGAGAGCTTTACATTTTTTTGAGACAATCTTGCTCTGTTACCCAAGCTAGAGTGCAGTAGTGCAATCTCAGCTCACTACAACTTCTGCCTCCCAGGCTCAAGCAATTCTCATGCCTCGACCTCCTGAGTAGCTGGGACCACAGACATGCGCCACCATGCCTGGCTAATTTCTTGTGTTTTCTGTAGAGACTGGGTTTCACCATGTTGTCCAGGCTGGTCTTGAGCTATTCAGCTCAAACAATCAGCCTGTCTCAGCCTCTCAAAATGCTGGGATTACAGGTGTGAGCCACCGTGCCTGGCCAGCTCCTTTAAGGAAATGCTTGTGTGTATTTTTCAGCAGTTGACTCATTCAGTAGCATGAAATGAAGCCATCAAAATGTCTCCCAGTTTCACTTGAGATGTAAGGGTTGTTGTTGTAGGGTTGTAGCCATGGTCTTTCTTTCAGAGTGGCTGGACCACGATTAGGAAGCTTAGGCAACAGCGGGTGCCAGACAAATGTCAAAATGCATCCAAAAGTGGTTGCAGAGCTTAAGCTACTAGAAAACTCTTTCTAGAACTGTCACATCTCATTTTCAGCAGCAATCTGAAGACCAGACTAGCACCAGCTCCAACGTACTTGTGCACAGACGCTCTGTTTCACCAAAAGTCATCTTATGGTGATATACAGTCAGTGTAGAACTCATAGAAAGGTGCCTGGTATCACAGGTTCTTCTGGTCTGTGATCTTCACATAGATTCTTCTGACTTTCCTGGCACTCACAAGCCAGCACAGGCTGGGAGTGGGCTGGAGGCCAAAACACCTTTACTGGATAAAGACAACCGATACCAAACTAGTCTGGGTCCTAAGACCTCTCCTCAGTAAGGCCTCAGGCTACTTCAAGGATTACGAAGACAGGAAAATAGAGCAGGTGAGAGGCTAAATGGAGTCCTACTTTTCCCACTGAGGTGCAGAAAGAGAAGCAATTTAACCTAGTCATTGAACACAGAGCTGTCAAGGACCTGTGGTCTGGTCTTAACATTGCCCAATGGGTTGGCTGCATAACTCTTAGGTGGGTCACTTAAGCTCTCTGTGTCTCAGTTTCCACATCTTTCAAAGCGGAATAAGAAAGAGACTTCCTCATAGCATTGCTAGGATAAAGAGATAAAATGAAATAATCCATATAAAAACCTATGAAAAAATTAGAACGATACTATACAAAGTATTATCAAAATGTTGTTAGCTATCCTTAAGCTTCGTGCCCTCCACCCTGCCCAATCTCAGCTCCAAGGCAACAAATTCCCTCAAATACAAAGCCCTTTTCCTTACTGCAGTAGTTTTGTGTACAACCAGTGGCTCTCACTGTCAGGGTTGATCTGTCTCTGCCGACCCAAAGGTTCCTCTGAGCCAGGATGACAAACTTGAGGATCCTTTTTCTGGGAGTTCAAGCCATGAAAAGCCTATGAAACACCTGAAGAATTCCAGGCCATCTGACCCTCCAAACCTCTACAGGAACCCCTTTTAATAAGGGGCAGGAGAAGCTCAAAATGAGAAGTTAAGAGTTCCTAGGACCTTTGCTAACCCCATTGCCAACTTGCAGTCACACAAGAGGGCAGCACCCCTTGCTGCTGAGAGAACCCTGTGGGCCATTCACACAGGCAGCATTGACTCCATGCATGTGGCTCAGCTCCTTTCCTCTGCTCTGTGTATAGGAACAGAACTTAACCTCATCAAATGAGAAGCAGCATTTTCTGTATGGCTTCCACTACAACTGAGCACTGGCAATGAAACCACCTTTGCAAAAATTATATCAGTGAGAAAATTATGACAGTGAAAAAGATCTGATCTAACCTACCCACCCTAACCCTTGCCTTTCCCTTAATCATTCCTGGGCCTATTGTAGATTGGCCTTTTGAGATATCTTTTCAAGTTCTGAGCATGTCTGACATCCATGGCTTTACCCAGACCCATCAATCCCACTCCTGTGGCCCACCCAGAAGCAACTTAGCTGAAGTGGACAGCTTTCACCCATGATTTTTCTCCATCCCAACCAATCAGCAGCAAGCACCCATTTCTAGCCACCCCTTCCCCAAACTGCCTTTTAAAAATCCCAGCCTCACATCAACTAAACTCTTTCTCTATTGCAGTGCCACAGTCTTCATTTGTGCAGCAGACAGGAAGAAGCTGTCGGGTGGTCACAGCAATTCTCATGCTTGCTTCTGAACTACTGACATCTAGAGCTAGCTGCCTTCAGGTCGTCTTCTAATGTGTCCTCCACAAAAGAACGTCAATAATTCAAAACTTAACTTATTCCCCTAAATATGCTCCTTTTCCCATGCTCCTATCCCAGTGGGTCAAGACATATCCACTGGGATGGGAACATGGGGAAACACCTGGGTGATAAGCCAAAGGGCTTTCTCTGCCTTACCTATCATCGATCACTGAGACTAGGACTACTATGATCTGATATCTCTTGAAATATTTGCTTCCTCTTTATTCCCATTGCTATTGATTTCATTCAGCCTGCTGTTTCTCCTCTGTACTATTCTGGTCTCCCTTACTACAGCTAAAGTGATCTTTCCAATTTAATTCAAACCATGTTCCCCCTTTCTGGAAGTCCTTTATTTACACCTCACAGCCCCCAGGACTGAATCCCAACCCCAAAGTATAATTTACAAGGCTTATAACCCCTCTGGTTTCAATCCATCCCATTCCCCAGTGCATCTCGTGATCCTATCAAGTCAAATTACAAATTCTCTGAAGCCCCCCTAATTGTCCCAGGTTTTCTCTCACTCCTGAAGCTTCCCAGTTGCCATTCCTTTTGACTCGTTGTTCCATCCCTCTACCCTTTACTAGCCCAACTTGTCCTTTTTGAAATACCAGCTTAAAATAATGTCCTCTAAGAAATCTTCTGTCAACAGCCTCCTCTCCCAGAGCTTGGTGCTCCATTGGGGTGTACCACAATGACTATCACAGCACTTTACCACAATTTGTTATTGTTGTTTAACTGTTTCTTTTACCAGCCAGTAATCTCCAGCATGGGACTATCTTATTCACCAATGTATGCCTGCCACCTAGCAGAATATGCGGCATATACTTGGAGATTAATGTGTATATACATACATACATACATATATAAATAAAAACACACATATAGATGTGTATATATATATAATATATATAAAACATTCAATGAATAAACAAATGGATGAATGGTTAGGTGGCTCGCCCAAAAACAAGAAGTTAAACATCTAAGAGCCACAAAGGGCCAATCTACAGTACCTCAAGGGCCTTTATGCCAAGCCATTTTCAACAGGGTAGGACAGGAACAGACAAAAAGTCTCAAGAGTCACTAGCAATTTCCAAGTTGACATTTCATTTTTGCCATCCCTTCTTTTTTCTAAACTCTTCTCAAATATTACTGAGACTGACTGATTTAAGACATGCACTGCAATGGTACAGTTAGGCAAACTTGGTGAGGGGCAGGTACAATGAGCAACCAGCATAGCTGGGCTGCAGGGCCAGAGGGATGGAACAGGGCCAAGGCTACAGGCAGGGAGAGTTCAGAGTATCTGACAGAGCTTCAAGTCCAGGGCTGGGTGGAGGCACCGGAGAGCTGAGGGCACCAGGCCACAGAAGGCAATTGGGTAAGTGGAACAGGGCCAAGGGGTACTAGGAAAAATGGGTGGAGGACATGGCACAGCACTGAGGCTCTGGCTAGAAGTATGACAGGGGTTGGGAGTGAAGGGGCAGCAGTGAGAATAGACAGTTGAGGATTTGTAGGGTCCTGGGTTATGTTCAGGGTAAGCGAACACTTTCAGCAAGCTGTAGGTGGGTGGACAGAAAGGTCTCCAAGAGCTCATCTTCAAGAGATCTCAGTGTCTCAGCTGCTCATCTACCTCTGCAGAACATCCCTGCAGACCACTCACCCAACAAATTTCACTGAATCAAATCTTAAGGTCAGCCAACTCTGGGTTGTGGTGGTCACATAAAATATTTTCCCCATTTTCATTGCAGAGGGAAGTTCAAGCTTTGGATTCTAACTGATCTCAGTTTTAAAACCTCAGCTTTCTCTTCTACTAGCTGTAGGGCCCTGGACTTCAGTTTCCTTAGCTATACAATAGGGGATGCTCACTTCCACAACTGTTGGAGGTGAGGTGAGTTCATGCTTGTGAAGCAGCATACATGGTTCCAAGCACAGAGTATGTGTTTAATAAATTGGCCTTCTTTCCCTTCCCCCTTCCACTCTGCATGAGGCCCAGTAGGCCCCATTGCATGTGTGTGGGGGAGTGGAAATGGGTGATGAGGAAGATCTATGTTGTTGACTCATTAGGAGAGAAGACATGAATCAGAGCTGTGTAGCATCCAGGGATGGAACAGGGACACTCCTCCCCCCATGCTATCCTCCTCCAGGTGCCCAGGGCCTTGGCCAGCAGTGGGTTCCATGTGGTCAGGGAAAACAGGCTCCTTTAGTACCTTTCTCACCACATTTGGAGAGGAGTTCTGGATGGTGCTGTCCACTGGGGGGACACTGAGAGGGGCTTCTTCCCCAGACACCTGGGGCAAGGCAGCAGCAGTATTCTTGTCAAGAGGGAGAGTTGATTTCGAGCCCTCGGATGCTGGGGGCTCATCTGTAGCCTGGAGAAGAAAATAAGAATTTGGGTGGGCTTTACTGCAGAGAGTGTAGCAGCAGCAGTAGCAGCAGCAGTGGCAGCAAAGGCTAGAACCCACCCTGCCCTGCCCATCATTACCACCTACATACCATGGACTGCTTATTTTCCAAAAAGAAAAATACTCTTATCCCAACTTTTCCAAAGACTACATGCTAGTGCAAAAGTCTTAGGATAGAATTTTGAGCTAATTTTGTGATGTTCACTTTAGCAATCATAACCTACTTTTGACTTACATTTTAGCTTGTGGCCCTCTATGAACCCTAGACCCTTCTCTGCCATCACATGGATTATTCCATATCTCCTCAAAAGAACTGGGCCTCAGGGGAAGACACTGAAGCATGATCTGAAGTTGCCAGTACTGAAGCATAAACGTGAAGCCTTATATTCTATAATAAAGTAAAAATCTGTAAAGCTGCTTTGAAGATAAAAATGTGATTACAGATTTAAAGGGGATACCACCATGGAAAAAGTGAGAGAAGGGTAGAGAGAAGAGGATAGAACAGGTGTTCTGAGGGTAAAAAAGAAAATCAAGAGCTAAGAATGAAGATGTGAAAGGCAGCAAAGATCCCAGGGTACAAACTGCACCTCTTCAACTGTCTTTTGGCTGAGAAAAAGAGGAGCAGCATCCAATATCCTCCTACAGAGAGAAGAAGACTTCTGTGGCATTACAGAAATGTCAGCAGACCTGGGTCCAAGTCTTCTACCTCTCAATGTTGTATGATATGTAGACAGACCGCTAGCCTCCTCTAACTCCCATTTATACACCTATAAAGCACAGATGGTAATGCCTACCAAACGACATTGTTGATAGGATAAATGATATGGTGCATATAAAAAATACCCAGCTTAAGGCCAGGCCACAGTGGCTCACACCTGTAGCCAGCACTTTGGGAGGCCAAGGTGAGCCGGTCACTTGAGATTGGGAGTTTGAGACCAGCCTGACCAACATGGAGAAACCCTGTCTCTACTAAAAATACAAAAAATTAGCCGGGCATAGTGGTGGAGAATCACTTGAGCCTGGGAGGCGGAGGCTGCGGTGAGCTGAGATTGCACCATTGCACTCCAGCCTGGGCAGCAAGAACGAAACTCTGTCTCAAAAACAAACAAACAAACATTCCCAGCTTAGTAGAGGTAAAGAAGTTTAAGTCTATACCTGTGCAGTATTATAAAAGTGCTGCCTGCCAGTATCTAACATGGATCCTCACTCTGCTCCTTAAGCTCTGCCCTTCCCCCTGTCTGGGTCCGGCAAGGGATCTAGGGATATGACAAGGTAAGAGACAGCCTCCCTTCTGCTCTGGCACTGGCAGGAGTTCAGCATGGCTCAGAAGGTACCATCGGTGGGCAGGGTCCCTACTCTCATCCAGGAAGACAGGGCAAAGCCAAGCTACTCTGGAGAGCACTGAGCCTAGATCTAAGTTGGGACTGGGTACTATGCTCTCTGGAGCTTTTCTGAGATGGGAGATTGAGCCCAGGGTAGTTTTGAAATGTGAGGGTTGAGCTCAAGGCTGCTCTAAGGTGAAGTAACTGTATTCCTGTATACCGCCCTGTTTCCAGGGAGGCTATGTTCCCTGAGTGATCCTAGGATGGGCAGAGTATCCATGCCAAGTCACCCTGACGCTTACCTGCAGGGTCTCCTCCTGGCTCTGGGACTGGACAGGCGCTGGCTGCCTCACGATGTAGTTGATCTGCCCCACAATGGTTTGCTGCAGATGCTGAGGAGATTTGGTCTGACTCAGTTGCAGGCTGGGCTGTTGAGCCTGGAGAAGAAGCTCCAAGTCCTTCTGCATTTCCTCCAACTCAAACTTGTGATGCATTATGTCCACGTTCTGAGAACAGGCAGGCCCAGGAGGGCTCTCATGCTGACTAGAAGCCAGATGCTGGGATGGAGGTGGAGGTGGGGGTGGCTGCTGTGGGGGAGGTAGGGGAGGTGTTGGAGGTGGCAGCTGCTGCTGTGGCTGCTGCTGAAAGTGACTGAGCTTCAGCTTCTGGTGGTGGCCAAACTGGACTTGGATAGTGGGTGTCTGTAAGGTGCGGTGGGCATGGGCTCCTTGCTGAACATCCTGTGGGGGGACAATACACACGGGCTGGGAAGTCAGCTGCTGCCCCAGCCGCTGGGGCATGCTCTCCTGCTCCACAGGGGGCTGGGTTTCCAGCCAGGGCTGCAGCAGCTTTGGTGGATGAGGGCTGCAGGCCAGCTCCTTCTCCCTGGGCAGCAGGGCAGAGCACTGCAGAGACCCCAGCTGCTGGGGCACCATCTCAGAGGGCTGCCTAAAGCTGTGAGCTGGGTGCATGCTGGGTGGTGGGACCTGGCCTTTGAGGGAAGGTGAGACTGGGGAGCAGTGGGAGCAGCACACAGATGAGGAGCACACTGCTGGAGACTGGAACTTGTGTGGAGGGTGGCTAAGCGCCTCTTGCTGAGCCACTGGAGACTGGTGGCTTTGATAAAAGGGTGATGGCCCCTGTAAGCCTCCATAAGCAGGAGCATCTGCCCGGGACAGTTGTCCACCTTCAGTAGTTATGCAGCCTGGAAATGCAGAATAGAGAGTTTTTCAAGTTTTTCAAGTTGCTCCCACCTTGCTACTTCCTGCTCCTGGGACAAAAAGACCTCATTCAACAGTCCTGAACCAGGCACAGAGATTAAGAAATTCAAGCCCTGATCTCCTAGACTCAGTCTAGAATACTGCCAGTAATAGCACCTGTATGGAGCTGCTTTGGGGGCACAGGATTTTTGAGAAATTAGCTCAGCTTTCACCAAAAGCTCTACCCTGACTCTGTTTCTGTCCCACTAGGAAAACCATAAGCTCCCTCAAACAGCACCCACTCATTTTTTTTTAACAGAATGGCCCAATCAGAGTCTGACAAAAAGAATCAACTTTAGGGTGGGGAAGGAATATGCTGGAAAGTAGCAAAGGATAGAGAGTGATGTCTGGGACCAATGAACAAGTCCCCAGATACAGGTGTGGGGAACTGTGTGTTGAGCAAGCAGGATGGAAGAGAGTGGGGAAGCTCTAATACCAGGTGATACGGTTTGGATCTGCATCCCCACTCAAATCTCATGTTGAATTGTAATCCCCAGTGCTGGAGGTGGGTCCTGGTAGGAGGTCACTGGATCATGGGGGCAGATCCCTCATGAATGGTTTAGCACCATCCCTTCTGTGCTGATCTTGTGATAGAGTTCTCATGAGATCTGACTGTTTAGAAGTGTGTAACACCTCCACCCTGGCTCTGTTTCTTGCTGCTCTGTCCATGTGATGCCCATATTCACCTTCTGCCATGACTATAAGTTTCCTGAGGCCTCCCCATAAGCTGAGCAGATTCCAGCATCATGCTTGCTTTACAGCCTGCAGAATCATGAGCCAATTAAACCTCTTTTCTTTATAAATTACCCAGTCTCAGGTATTTCTTCACAGTAATGTGAGAACAGACTAATATACCAGGTCAGTGCCAGGCACCAGCACTGACCCATGAGGTCTCTAGGTCCCTTGTGCATGAGTAGATCTATGGCTAACTCAGTCTAATGAGTTAGCTTCTTCAGTCTAATGAGTTGGCTACTTCATCTCATTATTTTGATGAGGCTTACTTACAGGAAGTCTGAGTGCCTTAAGCAAAGTGTGTTTTATTCACCTTTCGTTCTTTAGTGCTTAGCATGGGGACTAAACAAGAGTAGGTGGTTATCAAAGGTCTGCTGAGTTAAATCAAAGGAAAGAGGGAAGCAGAAAATAAACCTACATATCATTTGTCACTTTGCCAAGTTCAACAAACTTCCAGTAAGATTAACAGCCTCAAATGAAGGCAGCAGCTGGCCATCAGTTTAACAAACTCGTTAGTCTGTCAACACAGGCACAACTTCAAGCTGCCTACATTCTGCCTAAAGACTGAATGCCAACAAATGATTGCAGCAGGGAAGTAAAATGCACAAGGCCATGAATTATCTGCTTACATCTCAACTCAAAAGGATATGTCTGTGTAACACACCCACATGCACAGACAGTCTCACTGTTGCTGAGATACCCCTGCTTGTGCCCGCACATGTGTACCCTTGTGTGACCACAGAGACACACATTCATCTGTACTGCCACATAGCATTCTGTCTTTTCTCCCCCTCAGCAACAAAACCAAGGTAACAGAACATTTATACAGAATGGTAAACTCAAATTTCAACTGGTCCTGATACAAAGTCCTATATTGCCATTGTTATTTAAATTCCTCAACCTCTCCTCCTCCCTCTCAAACAAAAAAAAAAGTTTGCTGAATGATTTCATGACCACTGGCAGTCAGTCTCAGGGAGTGCTTTCTCTTCGGCATATACTGACCTACACTGTGAGGTAAGTAAGCAATTAGGGCAAAGTCCACAGGGTGGGTGGGCCTGGGTGGGTGGGCACAAGCTCACCAAGAGAAGCTAGCTGCTTGGTCCAGAAGTTAGGCTCCCAGGTGAATCTGATACTCCAAGGGGAGCCAGGATCTGTGTTACAACTTGTCTCCAGCAATCGCTGCATCTGAAACACAATCTGACAACAGCACTAAAGGTCATTTATTTGGGCATCTCGCACCTAAATGACAACTCCCCTTCTCTTACTCTTTGGACAGGCTGAAAGGCTCAAAGTCGTGGCTTGTTATCCTCCATATTCTCATTCTCATGCACCTTCGCACCTGCCCATCCTTCCAGCTGATCCCTTTTCTCTTATCAAGGCTTCTGCAACGCCTACTTTCTTATCCTTTTCAGGCCTCAAGTAATTTGTCATTCTCCTTCACAACATTGACTGGCAGCTCTATTTATTCTACCATCACCTCAATTTAAAAGCCTAGTGGGGGCAGACATTTTCTGAGCTCCCCATTGCTGTTCTTCCACTTACAGGTAAAACACCCTTCTGTCCTATTCAGTAGCCCTCTCCCCCTCCCATCACTTTCACCTATTTCTCGTCTCTAACTCTTCCATTTATCTAGGGCTTTGGCAAGTTTCCAACTTACCCTGCCATCCTCTAGTTAATTAATGTCCCAGCTAACATCTTGGCCTCTTATTTCGTTGATCTCTTGCATGCAACCACCTTCACTTGTTTTCAGTTTAGTCACCATACCTAGACCCTATTCATAATTTAGAACCACTTTACCTATGAGACCTTTGAACTCCAACAACCCACCCTGGTCATAACAAGTTTATGCTCTTTCAGAGTATGTTCTTCAACCTCTCCAAGCCCTGCTCCTTCAGTCCACAGTACCCCCCAGCTTCCTCCCATTTATAGTAATGATATCACTAGTGTCCTAATTCCCTCCCCATCGCCAACTCCTACCCTTAGGCAATCCAGCCATACCAAAGCCATGTTATCTGTGGCCATTTCAGTGATCCTTAATTTCAGCAGCACTCCTCAGCCCTTCATCTTGTCACTTCTTTTCTTGTCATCTTTCTCTTCCACTGCACTCAATGACTATTTAAAATCTTTACTGTGGTGCTACTTACCAATGTTTTAACCCTCTTATTATCACCTTCCATTTCACAGAGAAAAAAAGACACCATAAAGGTCAAATTACCCCAAACCTGTATCCCTTCTATCTCAAACTTAACTACAACATTGTCCCCTTCCTGTCCTCCCATCTTAGACAAAGGGAATGTCCTGTGTTTAAGGCCACCAGTTCATTCTAGATCCTTCCTCCTACTTTTTCAGTAGACTTACCCCACCACACACCCCTCCTCTCTGTCTTCACAGCTTTTTCTCCCATATTCATGTCTGCAGATGTTTTCCAATCTTAAAAAAAAGTTTCCCCCAACTCTGTCATCTTCTCAGGCTATGTTTTTATTTTTCTTCTTTTCGCTTCCATCTCTACTTCCTCACCACCCATCTTCAGTCTCCTGATTCTAGCTTTTGACCCTTCTGCTTTGCTGGAGCTTCTTTCAGATGATAGCCTCATTCCCAGATCTGAAGGCTGCTCTTCACTATTCATCTTCTTTCACCCATGCAGCATTGACGTACGGGCCACTTAAAACTGGAAACTCTGTTCATTTCTTTGTATCACACTTTGTTTTGCTTCTGACCTCTGACCATTGCTTCTCACTCTCCTCCACTCATCTTCTTCCTCTGTCTACGCTGAAAATGACAGTATTCCCTGGGTTCCTGACTTTCTCTCTTCTTGCTCCACACACTCTTCCAAGGTGATACCACTGATTTCCTGGTGACTCCTACATCTCCTTCTCCAAACAAACTTTTCTTCTTACTTCCACACCCATATATTAAAACAGCTTTTTAATAGTAGGTAGCTTAGAGTTGGTTTTGGATGCTCTATAGGCACCTTAGATTCAAAGTATCCAAATATAAACTCCATCAACTTCTCTCAAAATTCTTGCTCCCTCTCCTGGGCACTGTCATCCTCTCAAGTCTAACACTTCAACCTTATCTCCAACTCCTTTTCTCTTAGCTCCCCATATAAGCCCCAGGAACTTTCTATGAGATGCCCAGCACATTGCTCATGTCGAGGATAATGTCTAAATAACTGACCTACAACAAAGAACTACAGACTTTCCCAACTGAGCTACCTTCAGGAGGGGAGGACAATTCCAGCACCTGCGTCCTCTATGCAATGTGGCATTTGGTTAAAGATACTGTTTACTTACTAACCCAAAAGCAGTGATTGAATTTGAAGGATGGAAGGAGGAATACCTCCTTCCATCCTAAAAAGAAAAGGCATTTCCAAGGATTGCCTCATTGCCCTTAGGACAAAGGCGGTGCTCTGATAAGCTTCAAGGACAGGCTGAGAAGGTGGGAGATTCCTCTTACCAGCTCTTTGCTGAAAAGAAAAGGGACACTGGTTTTGCTGCAGACAGCCCAGTTGATGAAATTCTGCACATGCTCAAACTGACGGCTGAGAACCATGATGCTCTGTAACTGCTGTTCCAGCTTCTGCTTTCTCTCATTAGTAATGCCCTGGGTACAGAGAGAAGACAGAGTCCTTGATCCTGTTATTGGACTGTAGTCTACCTGCTTGGGAAGTCTGGTGGCCTGTGTGTGTCACTGATGGAATCAGATGAGACGATAGCCCTGAGATGACAGTAGGGCAGAGTGCTGCCATGGGCTGCTGGCTAATGGAAAAGGAGAGGGAGAGATGGTGGGAGATTGTATGGTGCAAATATAGAATGAGTAATAAATGAATGAGGAAATGAATAAATGTCTATATCTCGTGCATAAATCGGTGAAGAAGGTGGTTTGTTTTGTGACTTTCTCTTCCAAGACTATAGACTATAATAACCCTGTGTAGTTAAGGATGAAAGACTGCCTAAGAGACATAGCATCAAAATTCAGTTTGAACTGATTTTCCAGCCCTTCATGAGCCACCCTCCTAAAATTAGACTGACATTTTAAAATACAGGGAGCAGCAGACAGCTATGGAAGCTGCACATCTGAATTATAGCCTAGGCTTCCCTGGGTGCTGGGACTAGTTTGATATGTGCATGGTTTCTGAACCATCTGGTCCATCTGCCTATACATACCTCCAATTCCTCTATAAGCCCATTGGCCTGTTTGTTCAGCTCATTCATCAGAACCATCTTGGCCATTTTGATCTGGTTTTCCACCTTCCTATGCTGATGCTTCACTTCAAAAATCCTGTAAACTCAATAGGACAAACCATAGTAAGCTTTCCTCACAGCCTATGAGGACCAAGAGACAACAAACATAAGAACCAACCTGGAGACTGCCTATTGAGATCAGGGCCCAACAGACACCAAATATATACACACACACACACACACACACATATACATACATATATATACACACACACACACACACACATATACATACATATATATACACATACACACACACACACACACACACACACACACAGACAGAGAGAGAGAGAGAGAGACAGAGAGAGAGAATCTTCCTCCACCATCCCACCTTTTGTACAACCCAGCCCACTTGATCTAAGTGAGCCAATGGCCCAAAGTTCAACTTGGTTTTCTCTAGGTAAAACCTCAAGTCTATATCCAGGTCAACCAGTAGCCCACCAGTTGACACAGCACTAGAGGTAGGACCAAAAGAGAAAGTGTGGGAATGATTTATTGTAACTTGTTGTTGTCTTTAAATAGAGGATGCTCCAATAAATGTCGCCATGAGGTAAAAAGAGACAGAAAGTAGACTAGTGGTTCTGAGGGCCGGGGGTGTTGGGGGAATGGGGAATGACTAAGAATGTTTATGTGGCTTCTTCTGAGGGAGATGAAAATGTTCTAAAAGTAGACAGTAATTATGTACTGTTGCACAATTCTGTGAACATACTAAAGGCCAATGAATTACACATTTTAAAAGAATAATTTTATGATGTGTAGATTATATCTCAATGAAGCTATTTTTAAAATCTTAAAAAGCATGGGCTTTGAAGTCACCACAGACCTAATGTCCAAACCCAGCACAGTCACTGGCCAGTTGTGTGATCTCAGACAAGTTACCTAACCTCTGTGAACCTCAGTCTCCTCATCAGTGAAATGGAGATAATCCCTGATGGAAAGAATGGCAAGAACTGAACAAAATAATGCATACATGATACCCAAGCCAGTGCTTGCCACATAATGAGCTCTCAGCATCTACCACTTCCTCTTCCTATGTAAAAGGCCAATGATTTCATGTCATTTGCAGATTTACAGAGAACACATAGGCAAAAGAGGTAATAAAGCACAGATTGCCCCTGGCTTGTTCCACCCTCATCATGAGCAGCCCTCTCTTCTCAAGTGTCTGCTTGGTACCCTTTTTCTCAAGCACTGACTTCTGGCTAGTTCATAAGGTGTATGCTTTGGCCCAGCTCACTCTGATCATCCTGACCTAGCTTGGCTTCAGTCACCAAGTGATGACATGATGACAACTCCCCAGCCCTGAGACCTCTAAGGCCAAGACATATGCCTTTTAGGACATATGTCCACATCTGCTTAACCACATGTGCTCTTCACAGTCACTACATCTGATGGCCTGGTGTTGGAACCCTGGGTGTATAGGAACAGAGCATTTCCAGCACTGGCAAGGGACTAGCCTGTACTACCTGTCCTCAATTTGCTTTGCAGATGCCTGTAGACTGGATTTCTTATGTGCCACCTGTGTAGTCACACTTTCCAGAAGCATCCTCTGGTTTTGCAAAACTTCTTCAACATGTCTGCACCTAAGGGATGAGGCAGAGAAAAAGTTGAGAAGGGCTGAGTCCTACTTTGAACATGCCAACCAAGCAGGAATCTCCACAGGGCACTGTCTCAGCCAGACCCATGGAAGCTGTGATGACTTCTAGGGAAAGTCTAAGGCACCATGGGCTCTTGTCCCAGTAGGCCTTTTCCAGAGAAGTCCCACAATAGGAACAGAGAAAAACTTCAGCCCAGGGGCTGCAGGTTGGCTTGGGCAGAGAAAAGATTTTGACGGATGGGGAGCCCCAGAGCTCTCACAATTAAGAAGTCCAGAGCCCTCCCCAGCCCATTTCAGGCAGTCTGTCAGCCCCACCTGTGTTCTTTGTGTTCCACCATTAGGCAGCTATGGCATGTGAGCATATCACATGTCTCGCAGTATAGCTTGAGTACTTCCTGTGTGTGTAGAGGACAGTACAAGATGAAGTCTCCAGAACCACCATTCACTCCTGCCAGAGAAGATGGAGAAAGTGGGCTTCTCTTGCTCAGGTAGACAGATCTCTCAGTTAGGCTTTGCTGCACAGCCCTCAGCCTTCAGAGGACGCTGCAGAGACACAGAACTTGGGAGAAGGTGGTACAAACAGATGCCTCTCCAGGGGCACAAGGAGAATTTTGAGCTTAGCTTGGCTGGATTTGCCCAGTTGTCCAGAAGTAGCACACTGTCAAGACCCAGCATCCCATTACCTGCCAGAGGCTAAAGAAGGCACTTGCTACTACTACACATAGATCTCCTGCAGAATAATGAATCCTTCACAATTAACCTCAACCTGTTCATTAATCCGGATTTTGTTTTTAATGGAGCTGAAACCAGCCTTGCCAGGCCCCAGGCTAGATCACACGGATCATGAACTCTGGTTCTTATGGATCTGACAGATGTAGAACCCCTCCCACAATTCAAGGGCCTTGAGAAAAGACTTTCAAGAAGATTGTTATTAAAAACAGATGGTGGCCAGGCGCAGTGGCTTACGCCTGTAATCCTGGCACTATAAGCCAGGGTGGGTGGATCACCTGAGGTCAGGGGTTCAATACCAGCCTGGACAACATGGAGAAACCCCATCGCTACTAAAAATACAAAAATTACCCAGGCACTGTGGCTCATGCCTGTAATACCAGCTACTCAGGAAGCTGAGGCAGGAGAATCGCTGGAACCCAGGAGGCAGAGGTTGCAGTGAGCTGAGATCGCGCCATTGCACTCCTGCTTGGATGACAGAGTGAGATTCCATCTCAAAGAATATAAAAATAAAAATAAAATAGATGGTGCTATAGACAAATGGACAAGCCCTGATCCAGACCAAGTTAACTAAGTAACTAAATTAGAAGTGTGGCATGATTGCTCTAGAGGTGAAAGATAGGGAGCTCAGCTAGCTTCCACAATAATTCAACACTTTCCTCCCTGTACCATTTTATCCACACTCATCCACCCCTGCCCACAACAGGGAGGGACTAGAGTGAGTCACTCTGACGCTGAAGAAGATTTCCTTTGGGAAAGGCTCTGAGACTGTCCCTTCTTTCTTTCCCAGTAGGGAAACAAGATCAGAGAGCTATTTTCCAGGGATCCTAAGGTTCAGCCCGCTTTAGAGCATGGAAGTGGGTGCGGAGAGGTGAGATTGGTACCTGGAGATCCTTTTTGGGCCCGAGGAAAGAACGGACCCCCGGGGACAGGGCTGTGTCGGTGTTCCTCTGTGCAAGAGCTACACAGCCAGCGATTGCAGTAGGTGCAGAGGATATGTGCTGCCCTCTTCTCCTTGCACTCGGAGCAGTTCTGGAAGCAGAGAGTTCTGGAGTTACTGGCAATATCCTCATTTAGGTCTGCCTACACAAGTGGCAAACCCTCTAAAGAATGGGGTCCTGCAGGCCTATTCCTCTATTTTGGAGTGTAGTCTATTCTGGAGAGCTGTCTGGGAGGAATATGTCAGGGCTTGTGAAAGGACGCATCCTTTGTGAGCAAAAGAACAGTGGCTATGTCAGGTATGGTGGCTCACACCTATAATCCCAGCAGTTTGGGAGGTCAAGGCAGGAGGATTGCTTGAGTCCAGGAGTTTGAGACCAGCCTTGGCAACATAGTGAGACCCTATATCCACAAAAAATACAAAAATTAGCTGGGAGGGATGACACACACCTGTGGCTCCAGCTACTGGGGAGACTGAGGTGGGAAGATAACTTGAGCTTAGGAGGTCAAGGCTTCAGTAAGTTGAGAACATACCACTACACTCCAGCCTGGACAACAGTGGAAGACCCTGTCTCAAAAAAGGAGGAGGAAGAAGGAGAAGGAAAAAGAAGAAGGAAGAAGAGAAGAGAGGAGGAGGGGGAGGAGAGGAAGGAAGAGAAGGAGGAGAAGGAGCAGCAGCAGCAGCAGCAGCTGTCTAAGGGGCTGTTCACACAAGTCCTGTGACGAAGCTAAGGATACCCAGATGGATAAGCCAAGGAACTGACCTCATGCTATCTATAGCACACAGGATGGTATGCATTAACTGAGTAATGCTGCAATAAAAGGGATGCAACACATGCTAAGGAAACCAAAGCAGGCTTCCAGGAGCTCAGTCTAGGAGTAGCCAGGAAAGTTTTTACAAAGAGGAAACATTTGAGTTGGATACTGAATGACAAGTAGGTTCACCAGGCAGACAAGGGAGGAAAATGTTGTAACAGAGGGAAAGCATAGGCAAAGTCAGAAAATTCAGTGTGCTTCAGAGAGGAGAAAGCCCACATATGGGAATACACAGCAAGATGGTCAAATGCAGCCAAGAAAGGGCAAGTACAGACCAGCGTTCAGAGTTGTGCTCCACACTTGGGTCTGCCTGATCTGAGAGTACCTAGGCCTCTCCTAGTCCAAATGTTCATTCATTTAGTAAGCAAATATCTTGCCAGAGCTGATATAAAACATCAAGAAAAGGGGAGATTCGGAAAAGTTGGCCTATCTGTGCCTGAATCACACAGGCCACCAAACTAATATGAATTCGGAAGTTTTGCTAATTAAACTATGACTTTCTTGAAGGTAGGGTACATGAGTCTATCTCCCTAATACCCAGCACAGGGCCTGGCACATGTGAGACATTCAACATAAATCAGACACAGGAACAAGTAAGCAAATTGGTGAATTAATACAAAGTGGTGGCAAGGATACCCTAGTGGAAAGAGGAACAGAAGGGCTGCCAGCCAGTAAGTGATAAAAAATTTAAGAAACTCAGGAAAAAGTGATAGTGTTTAAATATAGGCAAGATTAATAAACCCATTTAATCCAGGCTGGGGAGACTGAGGTGAGAACATGAATTTCAACTCAGGAAGATAAAAAATAAAACAAAAGCCCAGAACTGGTATTTTTCAGTAAGAGCTGTAAGAGAGAGAAGAATAACTATAGATACAGTAAGCAATTCTTAATATACCTTAACTCATTCACCTGCTGCTAAAAGGATTGACAGCAAAAAAAAAAAGACAGTAATTTTCACTTAATAGAAAACCCACTCTTTGTTTTCCCCAACTGACCCATTTTTATTTTCTTCTAGATAGATGGATGGATGATTAGGAAAATTGACGGAGAAGTAACAAATCAGAGTGATGGGTAGATAGACAGACTTATGGACAGGGGCCTCACAGATTTTTGAAAAAGATCAGCTGCTTCTTTCCTTGTCCTGACTTACCCTGGCCATCTTGGGTTGCTCAGTAGGAACACACTGCAGAAAAAAATGTTCGGTTACATCCCTGGTAAGATATACTCGTTTACACCCAGGACAGGAGATGAGCTCTGTGTGGGAAAGAAAGATAGCAGAGTCAGGGCAACATGGCTGATTACACCCAAGGCCTGGACATGAGGCTTTCTAATATACAACACCAAGATATGTGGCAATAATCGAGTGTGCCAAAATGAGCTACAATTGATGCCATAGGCTGCATTTAATATGTGGGTACCCTGAACATGACCATCCCAATGGGGCCTTCCCTACAGAACATCTGAGCTCCTCACATCCTTGTCTTTACCTGGTCCTACCTTCCTCCCCTCCCCATAAGCCATTCTACAAGAGCAACCCTGCTTTGGTTCTGACAATCAGGTGCCTTCCTGCTGCTCCCATTCCTCATTCCACATCCCTGAGAGCACAGCTCCCACTACTAGCCAAGATCCAAAGAGTCAGTTTAGCCAAGGGCAAAGCTCCAGTCATTAAGGTTACCATGTAGCAGGGTGACTCAGAAGATCTTGAGCTACAGCCTCCAGAAGACTTTGGTCAGAGAAAGGCAAGGCCTCCCTGCCTGCTCATCTAGGAGGTATTTTTCTCTTAGTACAGCATATACCAGTCAGCCTGCCCCTGAGGCTCAGAGGTCTTTTGGAGGGCTCTCTCCCCCTAGTCCATGTTGGATATATACATAAATATATATATAAATAAAACCTATGAGCAGTTTGACCTACTCTCTCTCCCCAGAGAAATACATCAGTTTCTAACACATTCTTCAGCATAATGGGCTTCTGGACTATAAAAACAGCAAAAGACTCCCACCCTGGAGACCATAGTTATTCTTCTGGCCCACCCCAAGAGCAGTCAACCTACTGGGAACAAGAAAATGAGCCTCTGGAGTAGGGAAAGGTACCTGTGTCCAGGGATGAGGGTGATCTGAAAGGGGATGGCTATGGCAGTGAATGCAGCAGTACCACTGCAGTCTCCTCTGTCTCGTCTCTTCAAAATAGGAAATAATGATATGACGGCAGTTGCTCCAGAGTTACAGTCAGACAAATGTAAGTCCAAAGACCAGGCTTACCAGCCTGGGCAAGACACTATCTCATTTAATTGCTCTGTGCCCCGGTTTCTTCATATATAAAATAGAAAGGGAAAATAAGAGTTGCTATGCAGATTAAATTAGATAAAACTTCAGAAATCACATGGTCCTCCACGACTTTGGATTCAAAAGATTCCTCATATTTTATTCATAGTATGGCAATAAACTCAATTATCAACTCTCTCTGGTGATGAAAGTTAGTTTGAGTGGTAGATTAAAAAAATTGTCACAAATTCTTCCCCTCCCTCATCCATACCCTTGCAATCCTACCATCAAAAGGTAAGACTCTCCATGAGCTTCAAGTCAGTGACGAGTTTTTTAATTTTTAAAAAACGTAGGACCCTTCACCCTTTGAATCTAAGCTTACCTCATGACTTTCTTTGACCAACAAAATGTAGCAAAAGTGACAAGTTCTCCAAGCCTAGACCTCAAGTGGCCTTATATAATTCTGCTCTTGTTTTTAGAACTCTAAGACTATCATGTGAAAAATCTAACCTGGCGTTGAAATTGCTGGAAGATGAGAGATTTCAGTTGTCTCAGGCATCCCACCTGAGGCCATCATAGAGCAGCTAGCCCCAACTAACCCACTAGCTGAACACAGACACAAGAGTGAACACAGACATAATTAGCTAAGCCCGGGCCAAACCAGAAGAATCACCCAGAGAATCCCAGCCCAAGTAGCCAAACTGTAGAATCATAAACTAAATAAAGTTCAGTTGTTTTAACCACCAAGTTTAAAAGTGGCTTGTTATCTAGTAAAAGGTAACTGATATGTCCTGGGAAAATCAAAATCCACAAAATCATGAAAAATAATAGTTTAACACTCCCCTACCCCACCAAAGAAAAAAAGGAGAAAACCTTTCTGAGTCTTTGCGGAACCATGGGTGTTAATGACAGGACTGCATCTGGAATGTCCTGCATATTCTCCTGCCTGTCAAGAACAATGGCCAGAGGTGGAAAAGGATGCTCTTCACAGGTGACATTATCCAGGGGAATAAGGGGACTGTCCCTTTCTTCCACTTGGCTTACTCTAGGGAGACCTCTTCATCTGAGCCCAGGACAGAAATGCTGCTCTAATTGGTGAAAATGACTTCCACAAGACTTCCCTGGTATCAGATGCCCAAACATCAGTCATCATAATATAGCCTCATAAGCAGAATGAAAAAAGAGAAGTGAATAGGTCAGACAAGGTCTCATCACACATTCTCTGCTCCCTTGACCTTAAAGCCAGAGTCCTCAGCTTGGCATTCAAGGCCCTTTGTAAATTGACCTTATCTCTTTCTAGCCTCATCATTACCTTCACCTGCCATACACCCTGTGTTTTTGCCATGCCCAACATCTCTGCTGTCTCTTGGTACACCAAACTTTTGCATGATTCTCTGTCTGTGAGAAATGCTGTTTCCTCTTCTGAAATACTCTTTCTTGCCCCCCTCCTTTTCAGATAAACTCCTATTCACCCTTTCATACCTGTTCAAATGTTCCACCTTTGAGAAGCAGGGTTAATTTCCCCCAGGATGAGTTAATTAGTCCCTCTTCTGGGTTCCTGCAGCGCCCTGAACATCCTTCTAGTACAACAAATATCACATTGCATTTTAACTACCTGTTCATATGTCTGCTTCAAAAATAAACCACAGATGGTATTAAAGGTTATTACCTGGTTTTTAGCAGATTGGACAATTAGACAGTAAGTCTTCACTTAACATCGATAGGTTCTTGGAAATGGCAACTTTAAGCATGATGACATACAATGAAATCAATTTTTTCATCATTATAACAAAAGGATGTTTACTTAAGGACTTGCCGTACATTGTTTTTCTTAAAATCAGTTTCTAAGAATCTAGTCCAGGCATCCCCAAACTTTTTACACAGGGGCCAGTTCACTGTCCCTCAGACCGTTGGAGGGCCGCCACATACTGTGCTCCTCTCACTGACCACCAATGAAAGACGTGCCCCTTCCTGAAGTGCGGCAAGGGGCAGGAAAAATGGCCTCAGGGGGCCACATGCGGCCCGCAGGCCGTAGTTTGGGGACGCCTGATCTAGTCGATGATGGTAAATGACTACATATTTTTCTTTTCTTTTTTTTTTTTAATGGAGTCTTGCTCTGTCACCCAGGGTAGAGTGCAATGGCACAATCTCAGCTAGCTGCAAACTCCACCCACCGGGTTCAAGCAATTCTCCTGCCTCAGCCTCCTGAGTAGCTGGGATTACAGGCAGCTGCCACCACGCCCAGATAATTTTTTTATTTTTAGTAGAGATGAGGTTTCACCATGCTGGCTAAGCTGGTCTCGAACTCCTGACCTCAACTGATCCACCTGCCTTGGCTTCCCAAAGTGCTAGGATTACAGGCATGAGCTACCACACCCAGCTGAAAACTGCATTTCTTTTGGGTTTGTGAGTTCCATGTGTACTCATTGCACTCACAGCACTGAAAGTACTAAGAAGACACCTGGAAGTTTTCTGGGGGAAAAAAAAAAAGCCAGTGCAGGTTGATAAGGAAAGCAGAGGTGTGGGGCTTGGGAAAAGCTATGAATTTAAAAATACGGGTTCTAGGCCCAGGACTGGCAGTATCTAACTATGTAACCTTGGGTAACACCCCCTTTCACTCAACCTTACTTTCTACACCATTAACATGAGGGGAATAGGAATGCAGGGAAGTACAAATCATCCAACCCATTTATTCTGCCTATAGTAACCAGGCTTTTTTTCTCCTGGAGACCAGACATGGTGGCTCATACCTGTAATCCCAACACTTTGGGAGGCCAAGGTGGAAGGATCACCTGAGATCAAGAGTTCGACACCAGCCTGGCCAACATAGCAAAACCCTGTCTCTACTAAAAATACAAAAATTAGTGAGGGGTGGTGGCAGGCACCTGTAATCCCAGCTACTCAGGAGGCTGAGGCAGGAGAATTCCTTGAACCTGGGAGGCAGAGGTTACAGTGAGCTGAGATCACGCCACTACACTCCAGCCTGGGCGACAGAGTAAGACTGTGTCTCAAAAATATATATGTAAATAAAAAATAAATTAAAAAAAATATTCTCCTGGGCAAGATGGGATGGAACAGATAGCCAAATGGTACCCTGGCTATCAGACTTGTCAGAAAGTCAGGGAACAAGCTTGTCATTGAAAGGAAGCCTGAATTTAAGAGATTAGCCCTCTAAAAAGGGTTGTGTAGCAAAGAGCAGAGACAGAGAATCATCTCAGTGGTGCAGGCACTGTCCCAGGGAGGCTGCAGGCCCCAGGGTGGACCCAAATGACATGCACTCTCTTTGTGTCACAGCACCTTTGTCCAGAAATTCTTTTCTTCCCTCAGAAGTTCCCTAAACCCATCAAGCTGTGTCAACCTTGACTTTTTATATTTTTATGAGATTCCCCATCTTTCAATGAGGATACCAAAACAAAGTTTTACTTCAGACAATTGGAATATATCAGCTTTTAGAGCTGTGTATAATCAAACATCTACTTAACAATATTTAATATTAATTTAGTATAAATAATATTTAAATCACATTGTACATAAAATATTATTTAGATATGATTTTTTTCTATTGTATTCAGTTAATAATTATTATTCATGCAACAGTCCCACTCTTGTATTTCACATACAAGAACATCAATTCTGAGAAGTATGGAGACAGGACCCCAAGTCCACACAATTATCCCCATGAGATGTGGGGCTTCTGCTTCCAGAATGAGGAAGTCATAGACACCAGAGATGCTCCTGAAAGCCTAGGAGCCTAGGGGAGCAGCTCTGAAAGCTGAGGACATTCAGTCCATCTGTCACAAGTGCAAATACTTCTCATCTCTGAGAGGCATGAGACAAATTCACATCTGTATACCACCACTCTCTGAACCAGGCACTTTACATGTCTAAAAAATTCCCCAGGTGAGGACAGGCGCTGTGGATCACGCCTGTAATCTCAGAACTTTGAGAGGCTGAGACGGAGGGGGATCACGAGGTAAGGAATTTGAA